AATCACTGCAAAGGCTTTGATATTGGACTTTCTAAATTGGCATGCATATACGATCTCACAACCTATGGGAATTCTCACTTCCTCCTCAAGTTCAAAACCTATAAATCTCCTCTAGTCCTGAAAACCAAGCACAATGATGGAGCTTGGAAAGAAATATATCTCTTTGTTAGACATGACTCTGTTCCTAATGGGGATCTCCTTTCGGATGCATGGGTTAAAAAGTCTTGGATTCTTTAATATTAATATACGGATGCTGGAATTCACATCTTCTTATTTTGTTTGCTTCTTTGCATCTTTCAAGTTCTGGTTTCAGGATCCAAAAGAATCTTACTTACATTGTAGATAGGGTGTTGTTCTCTGTTAAGAACCTTGGCCCAGATAGGAATTACTGCGTTTGAGGATACTGAGAGGTAGAGCAGAAGTGGTTCTCCATCTATAGGCTTTACCAGTAATGGCGCTAAACATAAATATTTTTTGAGTTCCTAAAAAGCCTTTCCATGCTATTCAGTCCATTTGAGCTTGTAGTTCTTCTTCAAGATATTGTAGAAGGGTTTACATCTTTCTGAGGATCTTGAATTGAACCTGTTGTGTTCCGCTACCCTTCTGGTTAACCTTTGGATGTCTTTTGTTGAAGATGGAGATTTCAGATTGATGATATCTTTAATCTGCTTCGGGCTTGCTTCTATACCTCTCTTGGTTACTATACACCCAAGGAACTTTCCCGACTTCATCCCAAAGTGGCATTTGAGTAGATTCAACTTCATATTGTATTCATCTAGGATATCAAATGCTTCTTTAAGATCCCTAAGATGGTCTTCGACTTTCATTGACTTTACCTCCATGTTGTCAATATAAAGCTCCATGGTGTCCCCCATTTTTAAGATCCTTAAACATCCGATTCATCAGTCTTTGATATGTTGGACCTACATTTTTAAGACCAAAAGGCATTGCAGTGTACCAATATATACATGTTGGTGTTATGAACGTCGTATCTTTTTTATCGTATGGTTCCATATGGATCTGTTGGAATCTTATTGAAGAATCCATGAAGGTCATGAGTTTATGGCCAGTCGTTGCGTTTATCATAGAGTCAATGTGTGGTTGAGGGAAAGCATCCTTAGGACAAGCCTTGTTAAGATCCATGTATTCCACTCAAACTCGCCATTTGCCGTTCTTCTTCTATACGACAACCACGTTAGCTAGCCATATTAGGAACTTCACCTCCTTTATCATTCCTATCTTTAGCATCTTTTCTACTTCTTCTTGGATGATCTGATTCCTTTTACGTGCAAACTTCCTTCTCTTTTGGTGTATTGGTCTAAAAGATAGAACAATATTAAGTTTGTGAGTGATAATACTCTTGTCTATACCTGTCATATCCTCATGTTTCCATGCAAATTTCATGCTTCTGGTTCGAATGAATTTTACAAATCTTACTCAATTTTCTCATATATTGAGGATCCTATGAGGACTTTAGCTCCAGGATCCTCGATGCACAGGGGCACTTCCTTCACATATTACTCCTTTGTTTCTAGAACTTCTAGTGCCCCTGCCTTAATTTCTATGCTTGTTGGGGTTTGGTCGTAAGGTTTATAGAGGTTTTATAGCATTCCTTTGATTCTTGTTGATCTCCCTTGATCTTCATTGTTCCCTATGGAGTAGGCATTTTTACACACTATGATACGTTGATGGAACCTATTTCATCTCGTGGATCCACGGTCTACCTAGTATCACATTATAAAAAGATAAGGTGTCAATAACATAAAAATTTTGTATAGAGTTTACCCCATCTATGTATATTGGTAGGTTTATCTCCCTACTTGTGTGTTTGGTTTCCACGATAAATCCTATGAGGATCGAGGATCTTTTGACTATCTCTGATTCTGGGATGTTCATCCTTCTTAGTGCGTCTAGGAGTACAATGCTGACTGAGAATCCTCCGTCAACAAGGATCCTTCTAACGAAGTGGTTGGCTGTGTATAGTGTTATCACGAGTTCGTCATGGTGAGAATCTTGGATCCCTTCCCTGTCCGTCTCATCAAATGTGATTTCTTTATCATTTCTAACCATGGTATTCTTTCGTGGTTTATCCACCTATTTATTTTTAGAGGCCTTAGCATGTCTTTTAGTCTGAGAGTAAGAAGTACCACAAATGTTAGCTCCCCTGAGATATCGTTAATTATCTTGCCGTTTGGGGGTAGAGATCCTGGTTTCTCTAGGATCTTGTGACCATCCTAGTTGTGCTCCTTGGAATTTTCTCTTTTTCTCCCGAGGATCTCTTTGAGGTCTCCTTTGCTAATGAGTTAGCTGATCTCCTTTTTTAGGGCTATACAATCCTCTATCATGTGACCAAAGTCTTCATAGTAAGCACACCATTTGGATTTGTCTTTCCAACTGGTGGACTTGTTATCCTTCTTTGGCCAGCTTGCTTTGTCTCTGAGATCCTACATAGCATGGATTATACCTGAAACATCCATTGAAAAACAATAGTGAATGATCTTAGGAAGTTCCTCTTCTTCTCCCTCATCTTCAAGGGCATTAACCTTGTGATCATCTGGTTTGGAATAGGGATTCGATTTGTAGAATCTTGGGGCCGAGAATTCAGCCTTCCTGTTGGGATTCTCGTATTGACTTGAAGGTTTGCTCTTCTTCTAGATTTCTTTATCGTCTTCAATCCTTATGAATCTCAATGCACATCACCTAACGTCATCTAATCTCTTGAATGGGGTCATAACAAGATCTTCATCGAAGGGTGAATTTTTCCTTAGACCCATCTTGAAGGCCTCTATAGCAGTTGCCATTTGTATGTTGGGGATGCTTAGCTTCCCTCCCAATCCTGTTAACAAAATCTGTAAGTCATTCCTTAGGATCCTGAACCACCTGATAAAGATCACTAATGATTTGTTTGAAGGTTCTACTACAAGAAAATTGGTTATTTAAAATATTAACTAAATGTGCTAATGAAGTAATAGAATATAGAGGAAGCTTTAGTAGCCATTTGAGAGTTGATCTCATAAGGGTTGAACCGAAGCCTTTGCATAGGCAAACTTCCTTCAAGTGCACTGGGATGAGAATGATCTCCATCTTTTCTCGGTATTGTGCTACGTGTTCTTCAGGATCCGTAGTTCCACCGTAAGGCTTCATGCTAGGAGCTTGGAAGCGCTTAGAAACTTTGATATCGACTATTACAGGACAAAATCTCTTGATCTTGTGACTTGTTTGAGATGCCTCTGGTTTGCGTTGGACCACCCCGGGAACGCTTGAGATCATTTGTCTCAACTATTGAAGTTCTTTAGCGATGCTTGGATTTATTCTTGTATCAACATTAGTAGAGTTAGTATTTATAGTATTAATGTTTAAGAAATTACTATAATCAAGGTTTCTAGGAGTATTGAAAGGCTCATTGAGATCATTGATCATAGATGCTCGATTTTCCATGGTTGTCCCCTAGGGTGACACCATAGTGGCAAGAATTGTGTTCTTCTGGTGATTTCCTGAGGATAATGCATTATTGAAGTTCTGGATCCTTGGTTGTACAACTGTTGGCTCTGTTTCCTCGGATTTCTGAAATTCTTCCTTTATCCTCTCCACTTCTCTGAGTAGTGCTCTATTCTACTCTTGTTTCCAGGTCACCTGTTGCACCATTTTCATCATCATAACAAAGAGTTATGCAGTAGTGACCGCAGCAGTCAGATCCTGGAGTCCTTAAGATCCCAAACTTCATTGCTTAGTTACCAGAGGGGTGTTTTTATTTGAGGTGTCAGGCATTTTCCTCTGACCAGGGGGTCCACTCGAAGGAGGTGGTAAGTTTTTTGTTGGATTGAAAGGAGCGGAAGATGAAGAAAGGATTAGTTGTGTAGATATGATCTTTTTAGGATTTTGAACACCACGGCCCCACAGTAGGAGCCAAATTGTTTTGGTCAAAAATTATACAAGTACCAGTCAACGAAATTGAATGAGAGGTTGTGATGTTCGAATTGTGCAATAGTAAATGGTAAAGAGAATGAGCCAATGATCTACAAGGAACACCCTTGATCCTTGCTAGGATCTCTGACACAAAACCTTGGGAGGTGATAATGATCACCTGCCTTGATGATGTTACTAATGAAAAATGGTTATTACAGAGAATATTTTAGTAAGAGGTATACTTGCATCAATTTAAAGTCTAAACTAGCTAACAAGATGTCCGATATTTTTGGGATCCTCCATGACCAGCTTCATGAACATTATTTTACTTGGTATTCCTGGTCTTTCACATAGTTGAGATGAAACTCCATTGAGAATAAGTATTCTCTTAACTATTTATGCACATGAGTTAATTAAGAAGAAAATATAACCGTTATAAATATTAGTAAATTATGATAACGGTAATAGTCGGGATCCTGAGACAGTTGAGGATCCTAAATATTTGATAACGGTTGAGGATCCTAAAAGCTTTGAGGATCCTGTCCCTAAAAATTACCCTTTTGCCTAATTTTCTTTTCTCTCAAAGTCTTCGGTTTTTCTTCCAAAGTTCTCTTTTGCTAATGGATTTTTAAATATCTTATTCCATTGGACGAGTTTGATAAAGATTGTTGATGTTGACTTTTGGAAACACTCCTTCTTATTCCCCGTGTTATGAAGTAGCCTGCCACTTGTTACATTCAAAATATCATTCAACTTTAAGAGAATAGGCGTCAGTTTTGCATCTGTGAGTTGCGAAATGTAATCTACGTAAGGAGCGTCTTTCATTTCAAGAATTTTGACTAACCACTGGTTGATCTGAATATTTAGCCATTCATCAACAAGAGTTGTTTCCTTGTTTTTCCAAGATCAAGAACAAAATTCTTCAACTGTTCTTTAAGAACCATGATTTTCGTTGTTGAGTCGGCCATAACATCTATTATTTTGTTGTCATGAGCAAGACTTGTTTGTAAAGTGAGAATGAAGTTTGTAATAGAGGTGTGATGATCAACGTTATCTTTTTGTATCCCAAAGCAAAGATCAGCCAAAGTTGCTTTTTAATTCTGCAACAAAGCACAAAAACTAAGAATCAACTTGTTCATTTTAGAAAACTTTTTGTCAAATGATGTCTGAAATGAAGTCATGATAGTCTCTTGCATTGATGCAATACTATTGATTTCGAAGAGAATATTGGAGGGTTGAAAACTAGCTTCCTTAATTAGTTGAGAAGAATCTTCAACAAGCTTCTTGTGTTGTGAAACATTATCAACATCATCTTGAACAAGCTTCTGAATATTTTTTTTGATGTGAAGAAATTAGTTCTTCACATTTCGTAGACATGAAATTGGAAGACTGAGAAAGAATTTCATCTACCTTTTTTTTCAGTTTGCAAAAGTCACCTTTGTCATTGGAGCATCATCATCATCACTTTCCATATGAAACATAGAATCAATTGCAACAAAATCATCAATGGACTCTGAATCTTCTTTCATAAGGATTTCATCAACAACATTATTAGTAAAAGATGGAGTTGACATAAATTTTGGAACAAACACATTGGATTAAGACAAATTCACACTAATATTGACATTTGGTCCCAGATCAAATGTGTCAACAGTGATGTTTGAGGTTCTATTCTCCTCCCGATATGATTCAAAAGTAGAAGCCTCTTATGGAGGTTTTGTATTAGTTGTGGTTTGTGATTAAGAAGTAGCAGTTGCCTCACAAGAGATAGGAATCTCAAATGGTTTCCTTGAAAAATGATAAACATGATAAAAAATTGTACTCGTTGGAATTGGAGTACATTGAGAAGTAGTAGAAATAATTGGTGGTGTAGGAGGTGTTTATGAAAAATTATTTTAAACACACACAAAACTATGACACCTACGTTGACCACTCATAAGTCACCATGTCACTTCTGTCATTATTTTACTTGGTATTCCGGGTCTTTCGCATAGTTGAGATGAAACTCTGTTGAGAACAAGTATTCTCTTAACTATTTATTCACATGAGTTAATTAATAAGAAAATATAACCGTTATAAATATTAGTAAATTATGATAATGGTAATAGTCGGGATCCTGAGACAGTTGCGGATCCTGAATATTTGATAAGGGTTGAGGATCCTAAAAGCTTCGAGGATCCTGGCCCTAACAATTACCCTTTTGGCTAATTTTCTTTTCTCTCAAAGTCTTCAGTTTTTCTTCCAAAGTTCTTTTTTGCTAATGGATTTTTTAATGTTCTATTCCATTGGACCAGTTTGATAAAGATTGTTGATGTTGACTTTTGGAAACACTCCTGCTTATCCCCCTTGTTATGAAGTAGCCTGCTACTGGTTACATTCGAAATATCATTCAACTTTAAGAGAATAGGCATCAATTTTGCATCTTTGAGTTGCAAAATGTAATCTGCGTAAGGAGTGTCTTTCCTTTCATCAATTTTGACTAACCACTGGTTGATCTGAATATTTAGCATTTCATCAACAAGAGTTGTTTGTTTGTTTTCCCAAGATCAAGAACAGCATTCTTCAACTGTTCTTTAAGAACCTTGATTTTCGTTGTTGAGTCGGCCATAACATCTATTATTTTGTTGTCATGAGCAAGACTTGTTTGTCAAGAGAAAATGAAGTTTGTAGTAGAGGTGTGATGATCAGTGTTATCTTTTTTATCCCAAAGCAAAGATCAGCAAAAGTTGCTTTTTGATTCTGCAACAAAGCACGAAAACTAAGAATCAACTTGTTAATTTTAGAAAACTTTTTGTCAAATGATGTCTGAAATGAAGTCATGATAGTCTCTTGCTTTGATGTGATACTATTTGTTTCAAAGAGAATATTAGAGGGTTGAAAACTAGCTTCCTTAGTTAGTTGAGAAGAATCTTCAACAAGCTTCTTGTGTTGTGAAACATTATCAACATCATCTTAAATAAGCTCCTGAATTGTTTCTTGATGTTAAGAAATCAGTTCTTCACATTTCGTAGACATGAAATTGGAAGACTGAGAAATAATTTCATCTACCTTTTTGTTCAGTTTGCGAAAGTCACCTTTGTCATTGGAGCATCATCATCATCACTTTCCACATGAAATATAAAATCAATTGCAACAAAATCATCAATGGACTCTGAATCCTCTTTCTTAAGGATTTCATCATCAACATTATTTGTAAAAGATGGAGTTGACATAAATTTTGGAACAAACACATTGGATTAAGACAAATTCACACCAATATTGACATTTGGTCTGAGGAGATTAAAAATCACTTTGTTCGTTTAGATCTTAGTCAGGTTAATCAGAATCATGCAAACAAAATAATAAACAAAAGAATGAATCAACAGTCAGCTGAATGATTCAGTAGATTCACGCCTCAGCAGAGCTCGATGAAGAACTTTCGCTGTAGAGGCTTTTAGGGTTACAGTCGATAGAAACAATAATTGCTATGAATGATCAACTAAACAGCTATGTACCAAGATGCATGCAAGCATCTATAAATACTTAAACCCTAATAATTAAATCACGGATAGACAAGCCCAATCCGGATACAAAACTGGGCCAAGGAACGAGCCCAAGATGCAACACATAATAGAGCCAACAACCTTCTTTCAGACCCTACTTTGGCTTACTTGAACCTACGGCACTAACCTTCTTTGTGGCTTTGAACAAGCAAGGTATAATGGCAAGAAGAGTTTGTCGGAAATGAATATACCAGTGGACCATGTCATTGAAGTATTTCTTATCACTTTCAGAATTTTGCTTGCCCGATTGATGATCCCCAGAACATGCTCCAGACAAGAGGTGGTGTAAATATGTTTGTCAGCCAAAGCGAATAGACATTTCTGGCCTTCTGCTCTGGTGCACATAACTGAGTTTAGCTTAGGATCAATCCTCCCCATCTGCATTTTATTCGAATCACTTGTAGAACCGACTGGGGGGATAGTGGGCTTCTTTCTAAGTACACTAGCAATTTCCTGATCCAACTTGGCAACCTCCAAGATGTAACACACCAACATCCTCTTGAAGTGATCTATGATTGGCCCATATTCCATTTTATTGTTGAGGAGGATGTTATGAGGGATAATCCAGTCAAGAGGATTTAGGTTGGGAAGATCAGCGAGAGAAATGGCATGTTCGGCTTTATCTGACCACCTTATGACTTTGAATCTGACATTTGTGAAGTTACCCTCCCGAAAGGGTTTGAGGACCCGAACGTTGACAATCTTCTGTGCACTCCACGTCTGATACTGAGGCTGAGCAGTCCTCAGATAGAAATCAATAAGTTCCCTATCAACCTTTGGGTGAGGATGAGGGACTTCAGCTATGTGGGAAAATGCATGAAAGATAAATGCCTTTCGGGTCAAGGGCATGTCAAATTGAGAATCAACAGAATTAACCCTGTCCAAGGAGATCACAGGTTCAAGCCAAAGAGTGTTGGGGGACTCGATAGCTTCTTTGACAAGCTTTTCAAGTGTCCATGGAGGGAATAGGGTTTCGACTTTCAAGGAGATCATGAGCCTCCTTCATCCTCCTTTCATTTGCTTCGGCCTCCCTAGGAATCCGAGCATTCATATCCAGTTCCTTCTCCCTGGCCCGTTTCTTCAGAATATCATCAATGGTTTCTTTGTCTTCACTTCCATCACTATCATCAAGAACCTTTTTGCCTTTGTCTTGAGCACCCGAACCTGATGCAGGACCTGTTGGTGGTGGTTCGGTTACTTTAGGTGGAACTGATGAAGAAATTGGAAGCGGTTGAGAATGAGCTGTGGAAACAGGGGGAGGTTGAGGTTGAGCTCTTCCCTTTGAAGCCCCTTCTCCCCCTTGTTTTGGATGGACCACTTGCTCAGGAAGCCCCTTAATTCGGCTAAGCATGGAAATAGCAGGAGCAAGTTTCTCAGCAAGAGTTCGCCTCACCGACTAGTTGAGGATCGGGTCATGAGCTTCAATTATGTTCGAGAGGGCGCCGTGAACATCCGAAACACAACTCTTGACCACTGTACGCTCTGAACAAAGAGAATCAACCTCCTTCTGAGTTTGGGAAATTTGATGACTCATGATTTGGAGCTCAGTTGTTTTGCGGGCAAGCGCATCCTTTGAAGAATAATCCGTTGCAAGGTCTTGTTGAAGCTTAATCAGACGATCCTCAATGGATGTCTAGAAGTATTTGTCATCTTCGTTGAGGGTTTGACGAAGACTAGTGAAATGTTGTTTTTCTATTTCTAAGGAAGTAGCCAGCTTCTCAACAACCGAATTAACCTTTGTTGCATTAGATTATGGTGCCCCCTGCAAAGACTCCAAAAAGAGGTTAGCATCTCGAAATAGTTTTTCGACTTTTTTGGTCGCAGCAGCACAAGCCTTTCTTGATTTGTCGATAGCAGTAGTAGCAGAGTTGATTGAGTCTTCGTGTGCCTTGGTGAAAGTATCGACCATCCCCTTAATGGCAGCTTCCGATATATGGGACCGAGAAGAGGAGGAAGAAGAGACAAGATTATCAATCTTCTCGTGAAGTTCCTTGATGTGCTTTTTGGTGACAGGAGCATCATCATCATTATCGCTTTGAACCTGGTAGGGACTGTAGTAAATGGAATCGAAAGTCATATATTCCCCTCCTAGAAATGTCTCGGTTTCAGCTGAGCGAGTGGGAGATAAAGGCGATGTTGAAGGTTCGGTTGTGGGTGTAGGTTTGGTTGCTGAAGTACGATCCCCCATATCAGATTGATTGGTTCGAACTCCAGTGGTTGTTGTTTTGGTGGCTTCAGAGAAAATGGGAGGTGGTATAGGAATAGAAGTGGGTGGAATATAAGTAGAGGAAGTTATGGGGGGAATAGAAATAGAAGAGGTTATGATGGGAATGGAAACAGAAATATTGATAGCTGGAGAAGAGATAGGTTCGGTGGTGACTGGTACCTCATGTAAAGGCGATCGGGGAGGAGAGTCGAATTGAACCGACTCCTTTGAGTCTGAACCTTCATCCTCTGATTCGCTCGAGGAAGAAGCAAGAACAAGTTTTCGTTTAGGCTATGTTTTCTTCTTCTTCGGTGGAGGTGATTCGGCTGCTTTTGTTGACTTTCTCTTCTTAGCAGTAGGGCCTTTCGCCCCTGTGGCCACTTTCTTTATTTTCCCTTTTTCTGGTTTTTTGCCCCTGGTAGTAGGTTTGTCTGCACCATTGATGGACTGAATCATCTCGGCAGTCAGCTCTCTCGAACCCGAAGGAGGAAACTCCTTGTAGGTTTTGAAGATTTGGCTCTCCTTCGATACACCAGCATACATGGACTATGGAATTGATCCAACAAAAATGAACTTGGATGGATCAGTGACAATAATCTTAGTGGTGTGAAACACACCAATCGAGGAGAGTGGAGGAGTGGCCACAATGGGGACATGATACTTGTCCATTGCCCACTTGGAGACGAGCATCCAAAACCTGGCATAGGAGATTTCAGTGTGTCGAGAAGTAGAGCCGAGGCCCCGTCAGAACCTGCACTCCTCTCAAATAAACCTTTGAATAAGATCATGAAAAAGCCGTTCCATTGAGGCGGAAGGCATGACTTCT